GAGTGACAGCGCGCCCCCGCTCGCGCCCGCGGCCGCGGCCGGGCGCGCCCCCGCCCGCCCGCGCGCCCCCAACCGCGCCCCCGCCCCGCCCCGCACTGGGGCCACTACATGCGCGCAGACAGACAGTGGCGCTGAACAAACATGCTCGTTGACTGTACCCTACGACTGTGCATATTATTACGACTCACTACCAGGACTACATTTTATATCTACGTATTGCCTATAGTCACACTATTTGATATGTATTATATTCATATAAAAAAAATGAAGCAACTGTATGAGTATACAAAACAATGAACTAGTTCAAAATGGCTTCGTCGTACGGGACTGCGTCGCGCCTGTAACTGGCTCGGCTGTCCGCGCTACAACGATGTCTCCGACTCACTATATATATATATATAGTATGCCTAGGGAGGTGGTACAGTACCAAAGCAGCGAGTGACGTGAGTAGAGACAGTACCGGGCGACGGGTGTTACAGAAACACTTGTGTACTATTTATTAACATCGAGTTAATATCGAATGTAAATATTATTAAATACTTTCTGTTATCAAATTGAATCGACTATTGTACGTCAGGGAGCAGAGAAAAATTGCGACATTATTTATTTTCGTACAAAATTTTATTGAAACTTTCAATGGCGAAGCACGGGTGACGCTAGGAGAATAGATTTTGTGCTAGTACTTAGGATTAATGATTAAATATAATTATATTTTTATAAGTGGTTAGCGATGTGTGCGTGTATGAAATGTGTTCATGTTTACTTGATGTAACATTACAATTATTGTTTTTAGTAATTTTGCAGTGACAAGGTTGATGATATTGTGTTACTTACTTTTTGTACATAATAGGAGATTAAACAATAAGAATTAAATCGATTTTTATTTAATCGCCCGCGATGAGTGAGCCGGAGTCGGTCCGGCTGTCAGTTAATATGAAGCGCAGCTTTAACAAACATTGCTTCTTAAAAAGATAAAAAGGGCCTATCTCTAGCATAGATATTAATTCAACTCAGTGATAGTCCTTCGATAGTTAAGTGTTATCAGTTGCAACTCAACCGAGCCGTCTGTAAAGATGGCGCAGTGCGTACGGTAACTATTTACTTCAAACACTGGACGAAAAATTACACATACATTGAAGAAATAATCCTATTATTACAAGAATGTATATTTACTTAATTTGAAAGTAAGCTATTAACGTAGTTCGCGCTTCGAAACCAGAAACATGTTGTAGTTTGTAGTTAGGGGGCTGCAGTCTAGATTCTAGACACAGTGACAATACAATAATAACACATTAATTAAAAATTAATAAAAACAAGATATAAATAAATAAATAACGTTTAACGGTGCGTGCCCTTGCCAAAAGGGCCTTCATCTCAGCATTAAGTTGAGCATACATGCCCAACGCTGATTTTCAGATGGCACCCTGCAGTGACTCACGGACGGTAAGCCG